TTATTTAATTAAATAAAAATTATTAAGAACATTACTATTATTAGTATAAAAAACTAGGGTTAACTATCTTTGAAAACTGACAGCAAGAAAAAAAGAAGATTGGCAAAGTATTATATTTCTTGTTTATCCTTTATGTATAATTATAAAAGTAACTAAAATATAAAAATATGGATCCTTTAAGGCTTGTTAAAATTAGATTAGGTAAAATAAATAATAATAATAATATAATAAAAATGTTTCATGAGGCACACATGTGAACAGCTCGTGGGTAATGTAATTCGTTAGTGTAATATAAGCTGCACATTCCCTGAGTGATTTACAACTTATAATGCCACGGATAGTAGTTAGACACAGTTCAAAGGTGATGAACTTATAATTAAACTTAATTATAAATAGATGTATGTTGTTACGAACTTAGAGCTACTTAGGATAACTCAAAGTAGTTTCATGCTACAATTGGAAGTCATTCTAGAAAGAAAAAAAAAAGGATAATTTAAGTTTATTTTGATTTTTTTTTTTGGGTGGTTACAAAGTCGGTTGAATTGACCGATCCTGTTTTGAGATATGGTAGAAAAAATAACAGATAAACTATAAAGGATTACAAAAAGGAAATTTGAGATTTTTGAGACAAGGAAAAGTATATTTAATTTTAACATAAAAATTACTTTGCACACGGACTATTCAAAACAAATACTCAGTATATTCATGGACAAATCTTTATATTATTTTATTAAAAATACTTCCGCAAAATAAGATTTTTTGTATGTGAAAGACCTGTAATATTAACTGACAGACTGCCAAATTTTGTGAAGATACACGCACTATATTGAAAGGTATATGTATCAAATCTATACAGACTTTAAACAAGTACAAAGAGGTCATGTGGTCAGTCTAATTGACCGAGCCTATTTTGAGAGAGTTAAAAAAAGCTTTGAGAACAAGCAAAAGAATGGTATTATTGCCCAATAAGAAGTAGAAGGTCAGGAATAATACTGCCCAATAACCTGTGTCAGATTTTAAAAAATAATATTATATATGTATATGGGTTCTGTTTTTTTTTCTTTTTGCCAATTGTCAAAATAAATGGCTTTTACTTATATTTCTTAATAGTATAAATATATACCATGTAGTTGTTGTTGCGTAGGATTCTTCTACAGTAGGTGTCTGTGACTTGTTAGCAATAAATTCAATGATGAAAAACAGCCCACACTTTACTTGTTTTCAAATAATATATATATTTGGAACAAGTTAAACATATGTACAATAAAGTGTTCACACTATAGAGAATATAAGCATATTGTAAACGGTATATCAGTATATGTATAATTCTCCTCTTCTTGTCAAAAGTCCACTTAGGCCTGTTCAATTACTTTAGAATCTCAGTTGACAAGCTGAACTATTTTCTCTAATACTATATATATCACTTTTACCTTACCTTCACACCAACTATATTCTCTTTGCTTTTATCTGTCTATTGTTGTCTGTCTGCTGCTTCCCGCTCATCTCACGCTATTTATATCTTCATTATATATTCGTCTGGCCACATTCTTTATTCTCGACACCAATTAGTTATTAACATAACTTAAAAATAATAAAATGTTTACTCACAAATAAAAATTATTCACTAATATTTAAACCAAACAGTCTTTTATATCATGACAAAAATCCCTCTTCAAGATAATATATTTACAATATATTTTTTTACTATATACAAAGATTGTTCTTAGTTCAAACACAAAGTCTGCTCCAACATTTGCAGTCCCTTTGATGGCCTCAATGCAGAACCTGTAGTTCTGAAGATACAATGCCCATCTCATGATCCTCGCTACAGTCG